AACTTTTTCTCAACTTATTTTCAGTAGAACTGGGTCTGATATCATTTGGCACAGGAGGAGATCACAAAATTTAATGAAATTTCTGCACCAGTGTAAGGTTATGACTGGACTCTCACCAGGAGAGAGTCACTTCTTTTTGGATTTGTTGCTTCACAGTTCCTTTCAGTTTGGTGTTTGGGTACAGTTGATTTTAGTCTTTTTTCTTTCCCCCTCATTACATACTACTTGCCCTTTTCTGTTACTTGTCCTCTTCATGGTTCTTCTTTTCTCTTGCACAATACCATACTTTGAATCAAAGGGAACTGGGTATTTTTTTTTCAAGACTGATTTTTTAAACACTGTTTTTTAAAACACTCGATTACTGTAGTTAAATTTAAGTAAGTGACTTGAATAGAGACTTCACTGAGTGGAACGTAAGTCCAACAATACAGGCAAACAGTTTTAAATGATCTATTAATCTTTTTTGGTCTAAAACTCTCCAAAGCTATAAAGAGAAGGATGTACGAAAGTATCTTACCGAGAGTGATCTTTGGCTTTTATTTATTTTTTTCAGAGAATTACATTAGTAATTCATAACTAGCAGCTAAAGCAAATCTGATTTTAAAAGGAAGAACAATATAAAACCTTGGGAGACATGTTTGCTCAGCTGAAAACTAGTGAATAACAGTAGTGCAATTAGAGTGAAAGGAGTCTTAGGAAAAAAAAATACCTCAGAGCTATTTTAAGATCTTAGGTCATGAGTTAGGTCATGAGCTTCTTAGCATTTGGTGTGGTATCTGAGTAGACCCTTGGATTACAGATCAGGGCAGGTGCAGAAGACTGTGCTAAAAATACTTTTCTCCTTAAGGAGTTCACTAATTTCTTGAATGACAAACCAGACAGAAACATAAGTTCTGAAGAGGAAAATTATCAAAATAATTTAGAAAGAAGTTAAATCTTTATTTTCCAATAAATCATCCCATAGTTCTTAATTACAGAAGCTGAACTGCTCTTCACCATTACCTAGGAAATGTTACAGCAAACCCTTTATAGAGTTACAGCATGTGTTGAGCATGACTGGCATGTTCAGGAGTATTTCTGTACTCGTTTGCTGCCTCCTGAGCTGTGCAGAGAACTGTCAGGATTCCTGCCTTCTATTTTAGGGCCTTCTCCTGCCTTATAGCTGGAGAATACATGACCCATTCCCTCAGGGCAAGTTTTGCCACTTTTATGCTTCTTTTAGGAATATTATCCCTCAATTTCTATAGTGCAAAGTTCTTGGAGAGCCTTACAGGCTAAAATACACTCACTGTAGTAGTAAAAGCTGCCTAATTTCCTCAGTATCTATTGGGGTTTCTGGTTTTTCTCTAGGTGAATACAGATGTTTTCAATTTCCTATTTTGAATGATATGCTACAGTCTTGTTGCTGCTTCCTTTGTCCAAAATGAACCTTCCCGTTTTACAAAGGCTGCAGAAACTGAGAGACCTTTGAGAAATTAGTTTGTATTTCATTTATATTTGCCTTCCTGTGAGGGAACACTCCACTTCTGAAATGGCACATACAGGCCTACAAGTTCACTCTAACTGACCTAATTTGAATCCTTAATAATCTTTTAAGAAACAGGTTTTTATAGAACTGGCAGAACCAGTTGTAGTATAAAGTTAGGTGTCATTTCCTGTATATTCCTTAAAAAAAAAAAAAAAAAAAAAAGAGACCAAGGAGAAGAAAAAGCAACTCCAGGTGCATCTTAGGAGTTTTCCAAGTGATGATGTCCACCCACCCTTCTGTCTGTTCCAAGAATGAACAGTGTGAACCCCCTTTGACCAGCCCAATCTGTGCCCAAAAACAGATCCTCCTTAAGGCAAATTTCTGCCTTTGTCAAGGGATACATGACGTGGCAGAAACACCGTGACATAAACAGGTTCCAGCCTTACTCTGGGAAAATGTGCTGTGTTGTCAGTAAACCTGAAGGGCAACATCACCTGCTCTTAGGAGGAGCTGTGAACTTCAAAGCCAGATATCCCACTCTGGTTCTTTGTGTTGGCTGTCTGGATTTTCTGAAGAGCCTGATTAAATTAACAGAATTCAAGATGAGTGCAGTAGGTACTCCCCAGAAACAAGTGAATCTGCTGTTAGGGAGTTCCTGCACCATTTTCAGTGAGAGAGATGAGGTGAGATTGAGACGAGATTGAGATGAGATGAGATGAGATTAGATGAGATGAGATGAGATGAGATGAGACGAGATTGAGATGAGATGAGATGAGATGAGATGAGATGAGATGAGATTAGCCATTGTGGTGAAAAACAACGAAAGGTAACAAGTACCATTAGAGAATTGATATTATGTCAGAAAAACAAAGTTTGTGCTACCTTCATTTTTCAGTATGCAAAAATAATTTGTATAGTCTGTCTTCACATGTCAATTAAAGAGGGAGAGACTACACAAGCTATTAGATTTCCAAGCCTATCTTTCTTAGCCAGCTGGAACAGAAATTTCCAAGTAATTGAAATTGTTAATGAAACATATAGCAGGCATGTTTACACGTGTCTGTATTTTTCATATTCTCTCTCTGAGGAAAAGAAAAATTAAATCACCATCAGCCAGCTCAGCCCCTTGGGTACAGGGTCATCTTGCTATAAACAAAGCTTATTAACTGGATATTTTCATGGAAGTAGAACCTCAAGATTTTGTTTTTCTGTGGAGGTGATTGCATCCTCCAGGTATTTTTTATAAAAAACTTGGAGTTCCTTTCCTTCTGCCCGTATCTCATACTTTCTCACGTATCCCAGAGGCTCCCATGTCATGGCTAACATTCTTTTAGAAAAATGGAGCTGCACGGGAATTCTTTAAGAGCCCATCAGCACCACTCCCAAATTAGCCAGACAGGATACTGTTTGTTTAATTTTGCAAGTCTTTGCTTTCCCCAAAGTGAGAAGAGCTACCTCAGTGAATTCCCAGCCATGATACTCCATGCTTTTTAAGGAATTTTTTGTGAGAGAGGAGTAAGTTCTCCGAAACTAGGAACAAAACCTACTGATATGTTTAACAATGCACTCGGGTTGTTGAACAATATGTAACTAGGCACCTTTTAAATATTCACTATACTTACCTCAGGAAGGCCCTAATCTCTTTTAATTGACTAAAATGTCAAAGCAAGGTAAGTGCAAAGAGAAAAACTACACTTTGGGGGTGACTAAATCTGCAGACTCTTTCCGTATTCTGTTCTTTGGTGTTTTAAAACATTCTGTGACAGTGCCACATTTCACTTAATAACTTTGACTACTTTTTCTATTATTTTACTGTTATTGTTATAGTAGTTTGGTTATTAAACCAATGCAATGAGAAAGGAATGCAGTGAGAAACCATCTTTTCTTTAAGGAGGCATAAGGTTAGCAGTGGCCTTGTGCTCTCTGGTAGCACTGCACGTGAGTCCCCGAGCCTGGTTGTGAGCCTCTCTGAACCTGGGATAGTTCATAGCTGGATTCAGAGCATGGCCTTTCTCGGGAGTTAGGGGAAGGTCTGAACTCTGTTCAGGGGGCTTTGCAATCTTGTAGAGCTGAAGCTTCATGGTGCAGTTTGTTTAAGCTCTCCAGGAGCTGGTCTCCAAGGCTTGCTTTGCAAATCCAGCCCTTACTGCCCTGGCACGTACCATGGGCCAGAAGCTGTAGGACATTCCCTCCTCCTCCAAAGTAACATCAGTTCAGCTGATCCAGTGACAGCACCAGGGAGGAATTCCCTGCTGCAAGTACCAAGCATAGACAAAGAGGCTGCTTAATTTTCACTTTGTGCAACCCAGATCCTGTGGGACTTGTGCACATCCATGTACTCCCTACACTGCACAAGGGAGCGTGTGTCCTGAGGACAGCGTGTTGTGTCTTGCTCGCTCTGCTGATGAGCCTGTGAGAGACCCGCCAGAAGTGAATTAAATAGGTCTCTACTTAATTATATGTTATTTTGTTAATTGTCTCTGCTGCTTGTCTCTCGCTGGCGTTACAGAAGGGTGCAAGTCACCTCTGCAGCCAGTTTCTGTGCCCCAGCCGTTCCTGGGCTCCATCCCTCGCAGCTCTGGCTACCCCCGGGAGCGCAGCCGCCCCGCCGCTGGCCCGGCTGAGCCTTGCAGTAGTTCTCTGCCTTTTCCTTTCAGTCCGCTATTGGCGACCCTTCCATGGGCAGCACCGAGGCATCTCTCCCTGCAGAGCCAGCGGTGCACTGGGGAAGCACTGGGAGCTGCTGGCAGCTCTGCCCTCCCCGGGGCAGGAGTGGAGAGCGCTGCCGTGCCCTCGATGGTCACCTGCCCCGAGGGTCAGGATCGCACCTCGGCACCCTCCCCTCGCTGGGGGTCCCGGCCGAATCCCTGCCCAGCCCCGCCGGGGTCTCGCCGCGAAGTCTGGGCTCCGTGCTCGGCGCTGTGGGGCCGGCCCAGCACCCGCCCGCATCAGCCTCAGCCAGACGGCTGAGGTGCCCCCTCCTCCTCCTCCTCCTCCTCCTCCTCCGGCTGCCGGGGGAAGGTCTCCGAACGCGTTCATTCCGTACGTGCATGCGGTTAACCCCTTCCTGCCCTTCTGCCAGCCCCCCTGCCCGCAGCACCGCGCGTTCCCCCGTCGGCTCCGCCACCCTGGTGCTGTAGAACATTGATTTCCAGGGGTGGGGACGGCTCCAGCACGGGGCTGGTGTCCCCCACCCTGCGACCCGTCTCCTCCGCTCCCCGTGCTCCCGCTTGCTGCCTTTCTTGTTGTTTTTTTTTTTTTCTCCCAGGAGTAGCAGCGAAGCGTCCCGTCCGGCCTATTTGGAAATGGGAACAAATTGCTCCTCCGCCTTACCTCGCCCATCGCATCCCATATATAGTCATATCTACGGTCAAATGGCAGGCGGCAGCGAATGGGAGGGCTGCGCTTCCCAAAAAAAGCCGGGGGGCAGTGAGAGAGGGAAAGGGGTAGGGACGAACGGAGGAGGGAGGGAGGGAAGAAAAAAAAAAAAAAGCCCTTTCCAAAAAAGTATTGGATGTCTTGAGGAATGCAGTCAGCCCCCTGGGAAAGTACATATCTGTGAGGCGCTCCGTGCCCGCCGCTTGCACTCGGCCGGCGCCCCGTCCCGCACGGACCAGCCCCGCAGCTCCGCTCCGCTCCCCCGGGGGCCGCGCCCGCGTCCGGATCGGGGCTGTCCCGCAGCTTTACAAGTTTGACTTTCGGGAGCAGTTCGCGCGTGTTCGCGCCCTAACCCACCGCCACCATGGATGCCATCAAGAAGAAGATGCAGATGCTGAAGCTGGACAAGGAGAACGCCTTGGACAGAGCCGAGCAAGCCGAGGCGGACAAGAAGGCAGCGGAGGAGAGAAGCAAGCAGGTCTGCACCGGGGGCCCGGGCGCAGCCAGCGCCGGGGCGCAAGTTTTTCCGGACTCCTCTCTTTTTTTCCCCTCCTCCTCTTCCCCCCCACTCCCCTACCTTATTGTATTCCACCCCCGCGCCCCTGCAGAACTGGTTGAACTTTCCCTAAGGCAGAGCTTCAGCCTGGCAGCTCCTGGCTGGAGGTCCCCGGGTGCCCGGTAGGAGTTGGTCCCCCCTGTCCCCACCATTCCCGCTGGGGAGCGGGGCCTTGGGACAGCCGCGTGGCCTCCGTGCCTTTGTCACCGGGGCACGGCGTGGAGAGGCTACCTCGGGCACCTCGTTAGCAGTGGACAGACGGGCTGCCACTTGGCAAAGGACGCTTAAAGCTGTGTTCGCCCATTACAGCATCACCCAGCAGACTTGTCCGATTCCAGCTGCCCCCCCCGCCCTCCTCCGGATGCACGTTCCATTTTCCTGTCCTTCCCCAACCCCCTCCTTTACACCTGGGGCTTTACTCGACTGGGGGAGGGAGACACGTTGTTTGCACGTTTTTGGAAGATCCTGAAGGAGGAGGGAGGAAGGGACGGAGATTATAAATTAATTTCCCACTTTCCTAAGCCCAGGGAGAAACATATTTGTGCGTTGTATTTCCTCTTGTGCACCTAGTTAGAGGATGACATTGTGCAATTGGAAAAGCAATTGCGTGTGACGGAGGATTCAAGGGACCAAGTGCTGGAAGAGCTGCACAAGTCTGAGGACAGCCTCCTCTCCGCAGAGGAGAATGCTGCCAAGGTATCGTGCCCTTGCCACAAGCAAAGAGAATAACTGTCTCTCCTTCTCTCTCTCTCTCTCTCTGTCCGTCTGTCCTTTTCTGTCCCTTCTGCACCCTCACTTCTCCCTTTGCACGATCACGTTGCCTGCTGCACCTTTTCCTGCCTGCCCTCCCCTCTGCACCACCTTCACCCGTATCACAGCTGGAGGACGAGCTGGTGGCTCTACAAAAGAAGCTGAAGGGCACTGAGGATGAGCTGGACAAATACTCCGAGTCCCTTAAAGATGCCCAGGAAAAGTTGGAACTGGCTGACAAAAAGGCCACAGATGTAAGTTACTCCCATCCCTTTCACCACAAGCCCAGCAGAGAACCCACACACTCCCCCTGCACAGGACAGCCAGGACTCCTGCCTGCAGCACTCCAAAGCTTTGCTGATGGCAGGGGCTGGGCACCTCCTGGGCAGGGGTGTGGGAAACACAGCACTGCCTCCTTGCATGAGGTTTGCACACTATCAGAGGCATTTGATCGGGTTACTGCTCACTTGACATGTGCTTTTCATGTGTACTTGCTGCTGTAGACGTGAAAGTAAAGAAAGGGTGGTTTATCTGTTCAGGTGATGGGAAAATGGCTCAGGCTGGAATGACACTGTCTTGATAGTGAAACAGAATCAGAGAGTTAATAGCAAGTAGATTCAGGAGAGGGAGATCCAGAAGAGCAAGGACTGCTAGTTCTGTCTTAAAGAGAGCTGTTCCTAGGCATGCATGTGTTAGAACTGCTGCTAGATACTAGTTTGGCTCACTGATCCCTGAGATGAAAGGTCCTGTCCTTGTTGTTTTTCTTTCCTGGAAATCGGTGGAACTGTTTCACTTGTTAAAGAAAAGTTCAGTCTTGTGTGACAGAAAATTGTCTGGAAGATGACACTTGGTAGTTTTGCAGTTCAGAGGACAGCAATCCTAGGAGCAAGCTGGGAGATATATATAGCTCAGCACTTTATATGGTAATAAGGCAAGAGCTTGTGCCTCTCCCAGGCCCTCATCCCACCCACCTGTCTGCCCCTGACATGCATTTAATGTATTGCATGCATGGAGCCACAAGAGTATATTTCTCTGCAGTTAAGGTCCTGGTCTCTGTTGCTGCTGTTGGACAGCTTGATTCTGTCAGAGTAAATCTCAGGTCTGAATTACAGGAATAGGTGAAACTACAGTATATCCAAAGCCATGACACTCCTCCTCCTCCTATAGCTCAGCTTTAAAAATCAACCTCAAAGCCATAATAAAAAGGAGTTGCCACAGATGAAGCAAGCAAAGTATTTCAGGGGGAGGAAGGATACTTTCAGAAGGGGAAATGTTGCAAACAACAACTTGGCATGAAAGGCAACATCCTTTTGTCTTATTTTACTTTTAAAAGGAGGAAAGGATAGAAAAAAAATTTAGCTTCAGTATTGGCAATTAAGTTGTACAGCTTTGAAAGAGAACTCAGGAACTGAGCAAACAGAAGCGTGCCTAGGAACGGGGGAGAGGGTTCTGTCTAATGTGGATCAGATGTCTGTGTTCTGTGCACGGCTGCCATAGAGGGGAGGCAGCTCCCTAGCAGGACGTTTGTTTAACTTGTTCAAAGGAACCACATATAGATCCAGGGGAGATATTCCTTATAAGGAAAAGTATGCAGACTATTTGGAAATAGCTTGCCTAGGATGAAGGCAGGAGAAATGCTACTAGATTCCCATTTTGAAATTAAGGATCTTCTTAGCCGATCCCAATGCCATTTTCCCCTGCTAGAAAAGAGCATTTGGAAGCTAGTTGAGGGCAATTTTATCTGCAGTCTTCCCTCAGGTGGAGGGTAGGAGATGTCTAGCTTGTTTTCCTCGAGGTAAATGCTGTATTTATTTGTGTGCATGGAATATGTCTGACATTTTAAGGACGTATTTATCTTTTGACAAAGCAAAGTATCTTTAGGGCAGTTGACCCAGTATTTGCCCTACTAGTTTGGATAGTTCCAAGCCTTGGGAAAAAGACACGGGAGTGCCGGCTCCCTGGGCTGGACTCGCCTTACAGGGGATGAGGAAATCTTCCCTCGCGGTGTGACTCACGTCCCAAAAGTGGGCACATCCCCGGAGCCACCCCACCTGGGAGGGGGCAGCTGCAGCCCCCTCTCCCGTCCCGGTGTCTCAGGAGCCAGGCCGGGTGCACCATCTGGCGGGTTGCTCAGTGTCATTTTACTACGGTTATATTGGGGCGGTTTAGAGGGGGAAAGGTGGGTCCGACCCCGGTCCCGACCCAGGTCCGACCTCGGCTCCGAGTCCGGATCGGGCCCGCGGGACCCTCCGCGCCTCGCCGCCAGGGGGCGCTGCAGCCCCAGGGCACCCACCTGGAGCGGGAACGGAGGGAGCGGCGGGAGCGGCACGGCCGGGATGGGCACGGCCCGGGATGGGCACGGCCGGGATGGGCACAGACCGGGATGGGCACAGACCGGGATGGGCACGGCCCCGGTACGGCCCTAACCGGGATAGGCACGGCCCGGGATGGACACGGCCGGGATGGGCACAGACCGGGATGGGCACGGCCAGGGATGGGCACAGACCGGGATGGGCACGGCCCCGGTACGGCCCTAACCGGGATAGGCACGGCCCGGGATGGGCATAGAGCGGGATGGGCACGGCCCGGGATAGGCACGGCCCGGGATGGGCACGGCCCGGGATGGGCACAGACCGGGATGGGCACAGACCGGGATAGGCACAGACCGGGATAGGCATGGCCCCGGTACGGCCCTAACTGGGATAGGCACGGCCCGGGATGGGCACGGCCCGGGATGGGCACAGACCGGGATAGGCACGGCCAGGGATGGGCACAGACCGGGATGGGCACGGCCGGGATGGGCACAGACCGGGATGGGCACGGCCAGGGATGGGCACAGACCGGGATGGGCACAGATCGGGATAGGCACAGACCGGGATAGGCACGGCCCCGGTACGGCCCTAACCGGGAGCGGCACAGCCCGGGATAGGCACAGCCCAGGATGAGCATAGACCGGGATAGGCACAGACCGGGATGGGCACAGCCCGGGATGGGCACGGCCCTGGGATCGGCACAGCCCGGGATAGGCACAGCCCGGGATGGGCACAGCCCCGACCGGGACCGGCACTGCCCCAGTACAGCCCATCCCCGGCACGGCCCGTTCCCGGCCCAAGTGGATCGGCGGTATCGGCAAAGCCCGTCCCCGGCACAGCCCCAGTACAACCCTGACCGGGACCGGCACAGCCCCAGTACAACCCTGACCGGGACCGGCACAGCCCTGGTTCATCCTCGGCGCATCCCCGGCCCGCAGCGGGACTGGCACTGCCCCGGCACAGCCCCGGTCCATCCCCGGCCCGAGCGGGAGCGGCGGGAGCGGCGATCCCCGGCACGATCCTAGGCAGGACCAGCCCATTCCCGGCTGGACCGGCCCATCTCCGGCCGATCCCCGGCAGGACCCCAGGCAGGACCAGCCCATTCCCGGCTGGACCGGCCCATCCCCGGCTGGACCGGCCCATCCCCGGCTGGACCGGCCCATCCCCGCCGGCCGTGCCCGGTCCCGCCCCGCTCCCCTGCCCGTGCCGGTGCCGGCCCCGCCCCGGAGCGCTCGGCGCGGGGGGACTTCCGGGGCCGCGGCGGGCGGAGGGAGGCGGGCAGGGCAGGGCCGGGCCGGGCCGGGCGGGCGGCAGGACGGGCAGGGCGCGGCGGGAATGGCGGCGATGAGCTCGCTCGAGGCCGTGCGCAGGAAGATCCGCAGCCTGCAGGAGCAGGCGGACGCGGCCGAGGAGCGGGCGGGACGGCTGCAGCGGGAGGTGGACCAGGAGCGGGCGCTGCGGGAGGAGGTACGGCCGCCCCTCGCCCGGGGGGAGCGGGCGGGGGACCCTCGTTCCGCGGGGCTCCCCGACCTTTCCTTCGCCGCCGTCCCCGCCCGCACGGCCGTTCTGCCGCGGGCGGCCCGGGGGCTGCGGGGCGGCGGGGGTGCGGTGCCTGCCCCGCTCCGCGGGCCCGCAGCACTGCGCCCGGCTGCTGCGAGCCGCAGTTTAGGCGAGATGCTTGCGATTCGGTGCTTTGCGTCAGGTTCTGAGCAAGCTTTTGTGATTTATTTTTTTTTTCCCACAAGCCCTAGTTCTCTTTTGCCATCCAGGCGAGCTCATCTGGGAATCAGCATGGCGACACTTGGGAAGTTACGTACCTGGGGCTGAACCTGAGATGGCCCCGGCACCTGAACGCACAGCAGTGCGATCGGGTGGCCGAACAGCTCTGCTGGGTACTGCTCCTCAGAGCTGCTTGCTGGGATGGGAAAGGAACAGCAGGCTTGGGTTTAGGCAGAGATGAGATCAGGGGCGAGCAACTTAGAGAGCAGAGAGATGTAGTTATGTGTGGCAGTCACAGCAAAAAAACCTGATAGGGCTGTTGTTTGTCTTGCCACTGACCTTGGGGAATTCTAGCAGCTGTAATTTAATGTTTCCTGCTATAAAATGCGCAGTATCCTTTGAGTGTCTTCTGTGGTTGTATGAAAGGGAGGCAAAAGAACAACTTTCTTGTGTCGTTTATTGCAATAGAAAAAATGGCGATTATTAGATTTCCTTATAATATGGGGCTTCCTGCACATTCCAGGCAGCAAGTTCAGAGGAAGAGCCTGCAGATTACTTGCAGGTGATCTTCCTGATGGAGCAAAATATGGCTACTGTGCTTGTGTAACTACTGCATTCTTGCAGCTCACTTGGCATATCCATTTTTTTTGGTGAAGGACCATGTCACAGTCATTAACTGGTTTCATAAGACTTTCTGTCTTTAAAAAAACTTGTATTCATTTTCTAAGTTTGGTGGAGTAAAGGACACCAGTTATTCTACTTTCAGTAACATATATTATTCTAAACAACACATAAGGAGATTTCTATTGAAATGGGAAGCTTTGTGGCAGAAGGAATAGTGCTGGAGAAGTGATGGTAGCTCGCTGGTAAAGTCTTCCCTTAAGAGCTCAGCTACATTGCTATGAAGGGCCCTAAAGGTTAGTGTTTGTGTCTTCCCTGGAGTTGGTTTGTGTGGATGATGTGGAATTCTGCAGAGTGCATTTGCATGGTATTTTAAGTTTTTGTTTGGAGGGGTCAGTGCTGGGGTGGAAAAAGGTGGAAAACTGAACTCCCAGGCACAGGTAGATGTGTGCCTTTTTTACAGTAGGGTTTTTTATTGTTGCAGCTGTATTTCTGTATGCTTGAGGAGGGAGGCTTTGGGAGCTTTGCAGAAGAGAGCAGAGGTGTGAATCTGACCCTTCCCTCAGTGCAGTCCTTACGTGTACAGCATGTGACCAGCCAGGGTTGTTATATGGGTTTTATTTTCTTCCTGTGCAAGGTACAGATAGCAAACAATGAAAAAGCTAAAGCTGTGGCCAAAACACATCACAGCCTACAGCTCTTGATTGTTAAACCAGATTGTTAAAAGTTTCAAGACTGTGATTAGCAGCCATTGCCTTAAAAAAGAATCTGTTCTGTCTCCAGTACAGGCATCTCAAGGGGCTGTTGGAAATCGCATTTTCAAAATGCATTTTTCTTCCTTCTTCTGGAAAACAGACTCTCCCTTGCAATAGTAAGAATTAACACCCGATGGCACCTTACCCATGTCATCTCTCACTGTGGAAATATGTGGTGTGTAAGTGGTGTGGCAGACACACAGGAGGTTGTGTTTGTCTGGTAGCTTTGGGAGTGCCCCTGAATGTCACTGGGGTTTCTTCCTGCCTTGCCATATAAGGAGAGGAGTCCTGCTCTGCAGAAGAATAACTTGGGCCTTATAAGGCTGGTTGGTAAATCCTGAGTGAGTTACTGGAGCAGGAAGTAAAAACTTGAACTTTACTCACCCGGTGTTTTCGAGGCGCATTGTATGTTCTTATCGTGGTGAGGAGTCTTGCCGTGATAATAATTAACTGGTAACATTACAAATTTCCCAAGAGTAACATTTGTGAAAGGTTATTTTCTTTCTTAAACCAGAAAGTTCAAATTCTTGCTATTTAAAGCCAGAAATCTGAAAAGACAGGCTTGGATTACACACAGCAAAATATTCTATATTTGGATTAATATGGATCTCTAAGAATGAAGTCTCTTCTGGTTCTCCGTGTTCACTGCCAATACATATTAATGTTCAAAGACATATTTGTTTCCTTGCTTCTGTGTTGCTTTCAGTCATTCTAGCGGGGCATTGTTACTGTTATGTCAGAGGTAGTTTTACTTGTCTGGTCTGTAAGTTACTCTTCCTTCTGTTATGTACTGCAAAATTTTCACTGCAGCCAACTGTATCCAGCTACCTCTGGTTAGAAAAGAAAAAGTACCAAATTGATACTTCTGGTATCTGCTTTTGCTGGAGGGTTGGTTCCCTCCTCAACCAGACATCACAGGAAATTCAGATGTGTGCCTGTTCATATATAGCATATATATATATCTCATCTATGTTAATTTTCAGTGCTAATTAAGACAGTTATTCTTGGAAGTTATTAACTTTTTTAAAATAATAACCTTTTCATATATATTTTGGGCTTAATATAGTTTTGAAAGAAAGTTTTATAATGAGGTTACCGTGAGGAGGCTGTTGTAGAACTCAGTCTGCAACTTAAACAAGGGTAGTTTTGAAGATGTCAGAAGAGCTTGTAGTGGTAAGAGGCAGATGAGTTGCAAGGGTTGTACAGAAGATTAAGTGAACAGATAATAATGCCAGAGAGGCAAATTTAGAAGAAGTTTGAGGATGGCACTATAGGGAAAAAACAAAAGGAGAAGGTGTTTTGAGTGGTTATTGCCTGTACCTGGGCCCTTCTTGAGATGTAGCCTCTGCTGGTGCCTTTTTTAGCAGGTCTTGCATAATTTGCCTGTAAATAAAACTTCGGGGTACTGAGACACTTCTTAAATGTTCTCCTGCTCTCTCTGTGGCAGCTGATCCAGGTGTGTTTTTGTGTGTTTACGCTGAACCCTTCTTGTGGAACTCCAGGAAACACTGGGACAATTCTTACCCAAATGTGGTGAAAGGTCACAAATAAAGGATTTGGGATAATAGAAGGCTCATAATTGGTTTGTGTTGATTTAACAAAAAAAAGGGGAGGTCCGTGATTGATGTCTGCAAATACAATAACAGAAAATATTCAGGTAACAGTGCATAATTCTTCCAGTGCAGTTCTTTCTAGTACAAATTGTACAGTCCTTGATGTGGTTCATTGAAAGGAAGCATTAATCACTTTTTCCTCTGTTAAGCAATAACTTCACAATTCAATGAGGGCAGGTACATCCATGTGTAGGGATTTCATAGTGGCTGAAGTCAGGCATTAGGGAAGTGCTGTTAAATGGCACTAGCAGGTAAATGGGACAGTCTTACAAGAGATGATGTGTGCCTTATTGTGAACTAATTTCTGCTCTTCCCGTGTTCAGGCTGAGAGCGAGGTGGCTTCTCTGAACAGACGCATCCAGCTGGTTGAGGAAGAGTTGGATCGGGCTCAGGAGCGCTTGGCCACTGCCCTGCAGAAGCTGGAGGAGGCTGAGAAGGCTGCAGATGAGAGTGAAAGGTGGGTGGGGCCACTCCTGAATGGATCGTTACTCTCATGACAAAGATCCTAATTGCCAGGGTGTGGCTTGGGGAAGTAAATTAGACCACTCCTGTGTCTCTGAACATGTGTAACCTACTCTGCCTTTGTGTACCTGGACTTCAGTTACAGCTTGTCTGGAGGAATGTCCAAAATATGTAGGCTTGAATTCTTTTTCACTTGTAAAGATGAGGTTTGAGTGGGGTAGGCCCTGTGATGAATCATGTCACATCCTGTGAAAACTGGCTGACCAAGCCCAGATTTCTCTGTTCTTGTGCTGTTGGGCGATTCTGGATTTCATTGTGGGTAGAAAATCTCACCTGGAGAATAGCAAAGTGCTGGAAGAGGCTTTGATTCTCCTGTTGGCAAGATTAGTACGTGAAGGTGAGCAGAGGAAAGAGGCTTATAATTCCTTTAGCTTTCCAGAAGTCCATAATGTGAGTTAGGAACTCAAGATTTGTGACTTTGGAAGATCATCTCTCTTCTATAGATTGTATTTTTTATCTGTGATAATACCTTTCATTGTGAAAGAAGCCTACATATTCTGCATATGTGTTTCTGCCTCACTAACTGTGCAACCTGTTGAACAGAAAACCACCAGAGACTCACAGTGTGTTTTGAAACACTTAGAGAATTTGGGTCAGATGTGCAACACACAGTGTTTCCTGTTATGAAGGAGTTAAAATTGTGCTTATGCAGAGCACAGAGCTCCAGTGTTCTAGAGCTCTGACATGGCAAAACTCAGGGGAGTCTGGCCCATAAACATGGTTCTTGTCAGTCCTGCAAGGGTTGTAGCATGCTGTTTCATGGTGTGTGTAAAAGCACAGATGTTTTCAGTCATCCTGTTAGGTCTTGAGAAGCAAGACCCTTTATTTACCTTTCTGTAAGATGAGTTTTCATTCAATTTAAAATGAAAAAAGGATAGTACAGCTGAACTGTGGTTGAGAGCTAAACAAATCACACTTTCTTTCCTCTTAAGACATGTTTTGTTCCTTGGACTTCTGGGTGGGAGTGCACAGGACTAGATCTATGGTGCGAGGACTCAACTGTGTGATGTTCTTCATTCACCTTAATGCAGCTGTCTGCAAGTCTCACTCCACCAGGAGATAAACTGGCAAGCCCTGACCCTCACATTTCCTCTTTTTCACATCTTTCAGAGGAATGAAGGTCATTGAAAATAGAGCCCAGAAGGATGAAGAGAAGATGGAAATCCAAGAGATCCAGCTCAAAGAGGCCAAGCACATTGCTGAAGAGGCCGACCGCAAGTATGAAGAGGTCAGTTCCCGAGGGCAGCTCATCTCTTTCTAAAGTCCATTGGGCTGTGCCTGTACCTTATTTTTTCCTCCTTTGCCTGTTAAGTTCAAAGGGTCACAAACACCACTCTTCACAGCTGTTGTGGAAGGAGAAATGGACACCTGTACACCTCAGGGGACAAGGTGGCAGGAGATCTGTGCTTCGAGCTTTGTGCCAGAATGTTTGAGAGTGTTCCCTAGGCTCTTAGGGAGAAAAAGACCTATTTTGAAGTTGCCTTTTGGTGAATGAGAGGTCTTGAAAGATGTCAAATAACTGAGACTCAAATGGATAATGAAGATGTCACAGAATCAAAACTCACGTGTTGACCAAAAAAACGAGAAGAGGCCCAACCCCCTGCTTAGTAGGGTCTAGAAGCAGGTGACCTGTGCTGCAGCAACATAATATCTGACTGTCCAGGGGCTTCTCTTGTAGGTGGCTCGTAAGCTGGTGATCATTGAGGGCGACCTGGAGCGGGCTGAGGAACGTGCTGAGCTGTCAGAAAGGTAAGTGTTGAAGTGCCTCTTGTGAGGTGCCCCAGGATGACTATAACAGCATGGACTGTTGGCAGCACACTGTGTGTTCAGCTCCAAGCTATGTTTTGCCGTTTTGCTCATTTACTGTAATCGTTGAAGTAAACGAAGTAAACGTGTTGTTTGTGTTTTGTCACTGCATGCTGTACCTGCACACTGATTTTGTGAATGGCTTTTGTGCATTTCATGTGTTCACTAACAGCCAAGTCCGACAGCTGGAAGAACAGTTAAGAATAATGGATCAAACCTTGAAAGCATTAATGGCTGCAGAGGATAAGGTACTGACACTAATAAACAGTTCTTAGGTTTAACTGCAACCCAAGTCTTTCGGCTTCCATAGCTGGTTAGCTCACTCAGTAGTAACAAATCAGTCCTTGCTATGCTCTTCACTCTCTTTGCATCTTGCTTTGGTGGTTTTCTTTGGTCTCTTTTTTGTTTATTTATTCATTTTTACCTTTAAAACTGATCTCCTGTGCAGCCAAAAGAAGCTGAACTGTCTCACGTGTAAAAGCTCTGTAAATGTTTCTGTGTAAGCCAAGGGCTGTAGAGAAATTTCTGTCTGGTCATCGTCTTAATGTGCACTTGAAGTGATATTTGGCATCACAAAGAGCCGCTTTCAATCTGTGATGGATCAGCTGCTTTTGAGGCCGTTCTTTTGCCCCGTAATTGTTTTCATTTTTCTCTATCTTTTCCCCCTATTTTCTCCTGTTTCTTTTGCTTGACTGAATCTTCCATCCGCCCCTTTCCTGCCTTCCCTCCGAAATAACAGCAAATGTGCTGAGCTTGAAGAGGAGTTGAAAACTGTGACCAACAACCTGAAGTCGCTGGAGGCTCAGGCTGAGAAGGTAGGATAGAGACTTATGTGAGAATGTGTCCCTTACTTGTCATCTGGCCTGTGGGGTTTCCTTTGTATGGAAATGCTGGTCACTGCAGCAATTCAGCAGGGCCATTGTCTGTAGGAGCACTTGGACTCGCTACTCAATTCATATTTGGCTCTCACTGGAACACAGCGTATCTCCCAGTTCCAAATAGGTCAGTATTAGTTGGCCACACGTTCTCTTAAGTACTCTGACAGGATTAAATATCATTTATGGAATTACCCTCCAGCTGGCATTGTGTACTAATATTCAGTTTCTCCAAACAATACTCCTCTTTAGAAAAAGTGTAGTACTAATTTCTGCTTGGAGTTCCCACCTTATTACACTGGAATATATCTCAAGGGAAGTTTGACTCTTGTAATGAACTGCATTACCACAGCCTTGCAACTGGAATTAATTTAGTTTTACCCGTGTTAGTTTCTTGTGTACACGTGATCCGTTAGAAGAGAGTTTCAAATGTAGGTTTTTTGGTGTATTTAGAATACCTGGTCTAATACCAGTGATCCTCTTTCTAATTACAGTACTCGCAGAAAGAAGACAAATATGAAGAGGAGATTAAAGTTCTGACTGACAAACTGAAGGAGGTAAAATTAGAGCTGTTCTTTGCAATGTGTCTTCTAATGGACATTTGATTCTTTTAGTATAAACACTATTTTGCCTTAAGGGTGAACACATAATTTTGGAAAGAGTTTAGTGTTAAATGTCCCTCCTAAAAACTAGTATATGCTTCCCTCCTCTCATTGTACTTTTTTCCTCATGTGAACTGTTGCTGCACTGTTCCTGAGTACTGTGTGTGTGTCTCCTAAAGCAGTCTGTGTTTGTCTTGACCCCAGGCTGAGACCCGTGCTGAGTTTGCTGAGAGGTCAGTAACCAAGCTGGAGAAGAGCATTGATGACCTAGAAGGTATGGGCTTCTGGTTTTTTACTTACTATAGAAACACGTGTCTCTTATTCTGCTGTTGGGGGGAGGTGGGTGGGTTTGGTTTGAGTTTTTTTCATTACCCAGTTCTACTGGCCTGACTTGTCCCACTTTTACAAATGGGTCTGCCTAAAGAGCAAAATAGGCAAAACCTTTTCCAGTTGAAATATATTGATAACTTAAATGCTTCAGGTGAACAGTGTTTTGCTCTTGCCTGTTCCTTTTTCTCTCATGTTCTTAAGACTCCTTTCATTTTTTTTGCTTTATACTCTTCTACTTGGAGGTATATAAATGTGTAGGGTGAATGATCAGATGGTAAGTGTTATTATCATCTTACTAAAGAGCCGTGTTATGTTTGCAATAATTAGGAATGTAGCAAGCTAACCTAATTTAATACTGTGCCAAGTGTGGGTCAGGGCAGGCATTTTGTGACATGGACCAGTTGTTGGTTTTCAGTAAAGCTAATAGATTGTATACATCATCAGAAGGACAGCTTGTTTAACTTCAGAGAGTTTGTTTTAAGGTTTTGATAAAACTATCAGAACTGCAGCAGAATAGCAGAATGTGCTTCCTGCCTCCAGAGAAAATAATTCAGTAGGGCTTTGTAATTAGAAGTTACATGGAGTTTACTATTTAGATGCCTTACACCAAGTCTAGGATTTTAAGAATCTTAAATGCTTGGTGTGGCAGGCTGAATTCTGCATGAAGGCTGTGGAATATGTAGGTAGCTGCTGAAAATTTATGATCACTGACTCAGGAAGGAAGCAGAGAAGAAGGATAAGTGTTTAGAAGGAACAAAAATTGCTGTAAGAAACTGAGTTTATGCCAGCACACAAACCAGAGTGGTTTGGAAAAATAGTGGTGGAAAATGGTAACATCCTCCTCGAGCCCCATTTTTGGCTCTTTTCTCCCTTGCCTCCTGTGTGCCCTCCTAACGTGCATTAAAGCAAAAATCCAGGGCAGCAAAACATGGATTTTTTTCCCTTGTGCCCCTTTTTCCTTGGTTTTCTCTGTGTCACAGGCTGCCCCACTGGCAGTGCAGTTAATGGACTTGTCACATAAGACTGTTCACTCCTGATTTTTTTTTTTTTTCTTTTCTTCTCTAACTTTGTGATTTTCTTCCATGTTGTCTGTCACAACACCTCTTTCTGTGCCCTCTCCCCTCTTCCTGCGGCTTCTGGATGGTGTCCCCGTGCCACCACCTTCACCTTCCACCCACGGTCACGCTCCATTCCCTTGCACACCCGCCTTCCCGGGGGGACCATTAGATGAGCTGTATGCTCAGAAACTGAAGTACAAGGCCATCAGTGAGGAGCTGGACCACGCTCTCAATGACATGACTTCCATGTAAATGTCCTCCCAGCCCGTCCCCGCTGCCGCTTCCCTGCCCTCCCTGATTGTGCGGTGCCGGCTTGTGAAATGCTCCCCCCTGTGCAGTGGGAGACTCGTTCCTTTAGCAAGACCTAGTGTACAAAATACCATGAACAATTTCTTTACCGTGGCAAAGTGTGGGTGAGTGTTGTGCCTAGCCTGGTAAATCCTCATGGTGATTTTGTAAGCTCATGGTTACTCTTTCCTTCGCTGCCTGCAGTCCATGTGTCCTGGGGTTGCCTTTCCTTTGTAGCTCTGTTTGTCCTTTCAGTTCACCTCTGTTCAAGCATTGTCTGCCAGCTCCCTCTTGTTCATTTTACCAGAGAAAATTGCCTTGGTATGTGTTGTATTTGGAGTGTACTCTTCTGCCTGCTGTCACAGTTTTTTGCTCTGGCAAAATTTCTGTACAAGAACGTCAAAGAAATTTCGATTTAACCGTATTCTCTATTTTAATGACAGTGGAAAGTGTTTACCTAAATTGCCTTAACTGCTCTGAAAATTTCACTTGTTATCACTAAATTACAAGTGTGGAAATTGATTTAAAATACTTTGTCATTTAAGCCCATAAAAGTCACAGTTGTTTATAGGTTTCTTCTGCGTGTTTTCTGGATAGTAATAGTAATTTAACTTACATATACCAAAAATGTGGTAATACCAACTTGAGCCATGAGGAGAAAAATGATGACAGGAAAGCACACATCCACCTTCCCATGCTCACACCTTGCACTTGCATGAGCCCTGCACAGCTGACGTGGCAGAGGGGAAGGAGCTGTGGCTCTCAGGTACTTATGAGGTGCCATGTTTAGTCCCAGCACTTATTTTTGGAGGCTGGCATGCTTTCCACAAGGCATAAGGTTTTTTTCAGAGCCTGGAGTGTGTTTTGTGTGCACCCATATTTTAGATGTTTGTTTCTTTGCATTTTTTCATCCCCGTGTCTGTTCACTGCTTTCCTCCCTCTCTCTGCCAACATTTCAGTAGAGGTCTAATGTTGTCTGTTTTGGTTTTGTTTTTTGTTTTTGAATTCCCTCCCAACGTATGCTTTTGCTCTGTGGTTTATCAAGCAAATGGATTTCTCTTTTCCTCCTCTGTGTACAGAGATTACAGTATTTCTTCAATTTGGGATATTTCTAAATGGAAAACAGACTTTAAATTATACTCTGCTGCTACATGAGGACATTCCAGTCCCAGCATGGTGTGCTGTTTCTGTAGCATAGTCTCTCAGCATGCTGGGCTCTGCTGTGCAGTTGCTGCTTTTTTGGAAGTCTTTACTGCACCTTTTTTTTCATTTTCTACCTTATCTCACTTTTTCTTTTCATGCAGATAATTTTCTTTGCTTCACTTCTCCAAAGACATCCCCATCGGGTTGGATAAAACATCTTCCCAAGCTTTGGATGTTTCATGGGTTCATTGTCCTGTCCTCTAGCTTAGCTGACTCTCCTCCTCTACACCTGTCTCACAACATACTCTCTTTGTGCTCTGCTGTACAGAAACTACATTTCTCAATGTAAAATAAACATCCCAGCTGTATCCCTTTTGCTATTCCCTTGCCTTTTATTTATTTAAGTAACTATTTAAGTTATTAATAAAAAAATGCTCTTTTTTGCCTGCAGGGATTTATTTTTTTTTCCCGTGTTTTCATTTTTTTTATCTGCAAACACTTTTGCCTGAAGGTTGACAATGCCAAGCCAGTGAGAGCAGTCTGGGGGATGAGAGTACTACTCTTGGTGTCAAAAGCGGCCAGTTATTAGTTATTATCTTAGTTTTTCTCAAAATATGAGGCAGATAAAATGACAAATAGATGGAATGGGAATTTTTTCAGTTGTTATTGCTAGGCCAAAATCTGCAAGGACACTTCTTCTTGGGGTCACTTGGTCGTGGGAGCGTGGCTGAGAGGACAGTTACATCCTTGACACCACATTTTTCACTTTAAAGCCTGAAATTTGCTCCTTGCTTGGTGCTGAAGACTTCTAACCTTTTATATAAATGTGTTTGTTCATTGACTTAAATATTTGAGACAGATTTAAAGGGACAATATCAGAAATTTTAAATTATTTTTTTTTCATCCAAAAATAGTCCTTGAATTGTCTTGCAAAAATATTTTCCCTCTTTCACCCTTAGTTAATTCAGCAAACATGTTACTTGCTAACTTTTGAGGGGTTTTTTCAATGTATTTTTCTTGAGTGGCATGATGGGATTGGAAGTTCATCAGGGAGGTTTCAGTGGTTTTCCACTCTTGGGCTTAGTTCAGACTTGTGAGTTTGGATTGCAGACTCATGAGAAGTGTTTCAAAACTGGAGTAGGAAAACTCAGGATTATACTATTAATGTAATGATTCTGCTGCAAAGTGGAACATCGTGGGTTTCAGGTTTGAAAGCCTGAACATTGGCTTTCAGCTGATTTGTCAGTGCCTAATTTAGGATGAAGCATTAAATACTGACACTTGGCTTTTTTTTATACTTTCATTTGCAATTAGGGAGTTTATTGCCTTATTTTAACTTCATTTTCTTTACAGTGAAAGGAGTTATTTTCCATTTAATGTTAAAGTGAATCAGTTTAAACTGGATTGATTTCTGGTCACTCTATAAGTTGCTAAAGTTCCTAAGTCACCAAAGCTAAATAAACTTATTATAGCTGAACTGTAGTTTTTAACTTGTAGAATAATGTAAATGTGTCTTTCTTGTTCAGCAGTGCAGTCTAGACTAGATTTTCTCTCTTCCCCAAAACCTGTTTTCCAAATAAGGCTTGCAAATGGATGCATCCCAATTTTCTGTCCCACGACACATCCTTTTGTTGCTGGCCATGGGGAGAAGCCCAAGAGCAGGATGTGTGTCAGCAGTCAGAGGTAGCTCAAGCAGTAAAGTTCAGTAAGTTGCTGCTCATCAGCTGAGATGCAGTAAGTGTTGTTTTCCCCCTCAATTCCTTGCAATGCTGTTGTTTCTTAAGAAGAGTAAAAAAAAAAAAGCCCAAAATCCATTGTAGGACCCTGGCAATTTTTAACATGATAATTTTGGACATCAGCATTCAGTTTTTCCCTTTTCTGCCAGTCCCCCGTGATCAGCTCTGCACTGCAGGGGAGCAGGGTGCTGGGAAGGGCAGTGCAGTGCAGGCCCCCAGGTAGCTGTGTGCACAGCTCCTGGCTGGTCCTGCTGCACTGAGCCTGGCTGCCCAGAGCACTGCTGGTTTCTCCCTGCAGGGTGTTCCAGCACTCCTGTCCCCCTTGGTGGGGATGTTCCCCCTCCCATGTGGGCTCTGGTTTGCCTGGGCTCTGCTGAGCTGAGGCTGAGCCTTGCTGGGTCTGCACCAGAGCCTGAACGCAGGCTTGGCTGACAGGGCTCTGCCTCTGTGCCAAGGGACAGCCCAGACAGACTGGGGGGGATCCAGGGCTTGCTTTACACTCAGGAAATGCTTTCCTGCTTTACCTGGGGGTTTTAGTCTCATTTTGGACATTGAGGAATAGTGTAAATCTCTGCCTCAGTTAGGGAGGGGTTTCCTGTGATGGAGGTAAGCATCAAGTTCTTAGTTCAAATGTCGTGTTTGAATAACAACTAAATACACTTTGCCAAAGTGAAATTTTAGTTACTCCGAGGTTTTGATGTTTTTTTCCACATATATGTGACATTATCCTGATGAGAGAGACAAGCCCCAGTTGTTACTGGTCCCGGATCAGAGCTGTGAAACGTGCCCTGGTTTTACTGAGCTGGCTGTTGGACTTTGGGCTGGGGAGGAAGCTGGGAGGAGTTACTCACCACACAAGCATGTCCTGCAGCCCAGCTCATTGCACAGCTTTGCCTTTGCTGTGTCCAGTGCCTGCAGGGGAAGAGCATTTCTGTGGAAGCTGTTAGGAAGCTTGTGGAAAAGAATCAGAAACAGTCATTTCCTGGAGGGGAATAATCTGGGATCAAGAGGTCAGGAGTGCAGTTTGAATCTAGACTATTGAGGAGAATATGGGCACTTTGAGAACACAAGACAGTGAAAAGCCATTGTGGAATGTTCTTTCACTCTGCAGAACTCACTAACTGTGCTGTCACAACATAGTCCTGGCTGTTCTGTGTGAACATGACTCGTCCTCTCTGTTTGCTGTATTTGAGCAACACAGGTTTTCATCCCTCCATTTCATTTTCACCAAATGTGTGGGTCTGTTTTCTTGCAGAGCACAACTGGGCAATTTAAAGTTATCAAAAGGTGCTGATAGCAGTAACAGAAGTATATTTTCCTAACCAAAAATAGCATTTCAGCCATCAGATTCCCTAGGAAGGGCGTATGGGCTGAGTCAGACCCGGTGGTAGGTGGCTCCTGGCATCTCCTGCTGTTATTTCTGCTGGTTGTGATGTAGTTGCTCTCCCTCCACTGGCAGATGAGGTTCCACCACACCTTAAAAGAGTTTGCAGAGAAAAATGGCACTCGTGAAACAAATCTTCCACACACTGTACAAAAGACTAAAGCAGGACTTGGTAGCTGTTGGAATATGGCTGCAGTTCTTCTGTTCCTGTTCCAGTTTTTGTGTCCCACAGCTGTTCCCCACAGCAGGATTCTTAGCCAGTTCTTCACACGGTATAATAGCTGTTCCTTGGAGTAGCTATTTAATTACTAGAGTTGTAGAAACAAAGGTAAAATGTTTCTCTGTATGTTACTGAACTGTCTGTCATGTGACCAGTTTCTTTATTAACTCTTATTTAACTGTTTTCTCTGTCTAATCTGTCTTCATTCTGCCTCTTTTTTTCCCTTCTAACCTGCTTGCTGCCTGTACAGACCAACTCTACCAGCAACTTGAGCAAAACAGTCGCCTAACTAATGAACTAAAGCTGGCCTTGAATGAGGATTAAACCTTAGTGTGACCACATTGTTAACTTGTTTAAAAACACCCTCTTCCAAATTTTCTTTAAGAACCAATCACTAAAAGTAGAAATAAGCAAGAAACCTAGAAATTGATTTTTTTATTTTTCTGTTTTGAGCTGTTGATGATGCGGTAAAATGATAAATGAAACTCTCGGTTTCTCTTGGGAAAAATATGAAAATGCTTCTCCTGGATGAGGCTTTTCATTGTGTGTGTGCACACCTGCTCTGGAGGAGCACTGAGCTCTTGGCTGGCCAGTGGCTTCTTTCCACTTCAGTGAACAGCATTTCGCTGAGAGTATCCAAAAATTAACAGCCTCAGTCAGGCACTCAGATTGCCTGAGGCAACGTGAATTGGCCCTGAGATTTTTACTAGAATGAGAGAAAAATTCCAGGATTCAAATTTGTGTGTTTCCAAACCAACTCAAAGGATCCTTACAGCTTGTTTTGTTGTCTGGAGACTTTGATGCCATAACTTTGCATTTCTATGAATTGGGCTTGTATTTGACTTGAGGGGAAAAATAAAAAAGCATGGGAGCTCCACCTGAAAATCCTGATCAGTTTGAAGGTATGCTTGCAGTAGTGTGAAATTACTATACTGGATTCTGGTAGGATGCACCTCTAGAACATTATGCTCATTTATTGTATTAAATAAGTGTGTTAAATGACTGTCCTATAAAAGTGTGCATGCAGCATAAAGCTACTAACTTCAATTTTATTTATTTTCTAGAAGAAATAAATTTCTTAAAGGTCACTTCGCTGAAGAAGAGAATATTTTTAATTTTTTCGTTCTTTGCGTTTCTGAATTCTATGAAACTTAAAGTAGGGATCTGCAAAGAACTTAGTTATTTTCTTTATTGCTACTTTAAAAATTAATAATTTTTAAAAGCCATTTACACATTCCTATAAGCAGAGAGCTTCCAGAGCATGTAATTCTTGCGTCTCTGGTGGCAGTGCATTTTCTTAACAAATGCAGCTGTAAACAGTGCTAAACTTGCATTACTTGTTGTTTGTTTAATTAATTTGGAATTCTCTCTGGTTGTGTTGTTTGGGAACATTGGTATTTATGAGCATGCACATTTCTTAACTTTCTAAACCCTCTGAGAGCAGTGATGATTGCATGCCTTCATGTTCTGAGAATCAGTGCCTCCAAAGAACTGCTATTCATGTTTTAATTTTCTAATCCCACAACAGAGAAAGTGGCACATGCCAAAGAAGAAAACCTTAATATGCATCAGATGCTGGATCAAACTTTACTGGAGTTAAACAACATGTGAAAACCTTCTTAGCAGCAACCACATTGTTTGTTTTGTTATTTTTACACCTGCTTGCCGTGAAGCCCCATAAACGTGTCTTTATTTTAGTTTCACCACAGTCACAAGAACATCTGCTAAAGTACCAAGCAGGGGTCAGGGAAACACCAAACTGGGCAAGCCATATGCGGGTTAAGCTACGTTACATTATGGTTCAAATGTGCCATTTCCCAACAAAAATGTTACCTACACTCTGTAGAGAGTTCAGCAACTCAGTGTGCTTAGTCTTTGAAGAATCCTGGCCGTGGCAGAAAGTGTCCCACCTCAAGTGCCAACTACAGTTTTGACCCAAGAAGAATGATTGGTGTTCAGGGGAGATCAGTTGGAAATGGTGCTATTTTGAACAAAAGGTTCTACTGAAGTCTTTTGTTTGATATCAGACAAGTCAGGAGTTGTCCAGCACAGTAATTTATTTTTACCAGAATTTTACTGATCTGTGAGAATTTGGACTTTCCGTGCCTTCTAATTCAGTAAAACGAAGGTGTGTGAGCAACAGAGACAAGTGAAGGCTCCTGGAGGTTTTAAATTTGTGTTCTTGCAACTCAATACAGAAGTGTAGGTCAGCATTTCACCTTGAGTATTCATTCGATTGTATTTTTCATGTTGAAATGAAAGATTCAATAAATTCAGGACAAAACATTAATTTGGAAGAGATTGTTTAAAATGTATTTTATTTGTGTGGATTTTGGGGAGGGGGAGGAATTTTGAAACCGATATTCGCCTCACTTTTTTTTTTTTTTTTCACACTTTCTTTGAGCAGTTTTAAAAGTATACCTGTATTGTAAACATTGTATAATGATATGAAATAAAATGCACATTTTAGGACATTTTTTTTTTAATTTTGCTCTCCTGTGATTTGTTTCTCATCACGTCAGCTTTCTGTGTGTGAAGTCTGCCCGTGTGCAGTGTCCCTCACTGTGGTACCCTGTGCTGTGCTGGTTATATAAAAATGCAGGCTATAAAGTATTCGTTGTTGACCCAAACTAGTTTTGGTAAGGCCATGGCAGAACTCCCATAGAGTGTAAATGAGTCCTAAAGGCCTTGCTCTTGGAAGAACTACCCTGTATTTGTATATCTTACCAGGTAATTTGGGTTATTTATTTGAATACTGTGATAAGCCTTCCAAAGTCACGTGTCACGTTCATAAGAGATCCTTTCACCCAACTTTTTCACTGCTGGTTGCTGATTTCTACATGTGGGTGTCTTTGAATTGTGAGGTCTGTCAGTGGGCAACTTCAGAACTTGAAAAATAATTTTTACTGCTTCTTTTCCTGTAGTATGTTGCTGAAAGTTGGTGCTGCCCATCCTTCCAGCAGCAAGGAGCTTGGCAGTAGGCAGGTGCAGATAACCTTCCAGATCACCAAAGAATTGCCATTAGTGGACCCTTCGCAAGCAGCTGAAGAGAGGTGACTTTATCAGCTTCTGCTGAAAGGGTAAAGTAACACATAATAACTTCAGGTTAAGTGGGAGTCAGAGAGGGAAGATGTGCTGGGGCAGGTCTGGCTTTTTTTGATGGTGTTGCAGAGGGAGGAACTTGGTAGCATTGCAAACTTTTACGTGATTGATTGGCTGCTGCCAAGTCATCCTGAATGGAAAAGGTGAAATCCCTGGCTTCGTGTTTCCCTTGTGGTTTTGGGAAGCAGAATATATGTCATAAGGCTCCTACAGTGCCTTGTGATGGAGGCTGAGAGTGCACAGCTCCAAGCAGCAGTGGTGCAGAGGTAAATCACTCCAATCTTTGTCCTTCCTTCCTTAGCACAAGAAGAAATGTCAGGTCACTGAGCTCTGAGAGCGTGGCTTGGGCTGGTGCTGCTGGATCAGTGGGGTGCTTCCAGCAGGGAAGGGCTGTGCTGGTAGTAGTTTGCAGGGTAGGGCCCAAGGCCACCCAGAGAGTGGAGCAAAACAGAGGAGCTGTTGGCACTGGGCCACGAGTCTCACACAGCTGAGTGTGCTGCCAACTGCACTGCAGTGCTGGTCTGGTCCCGTGGTGTGTGCTTGGGTCCTAAACAATGTGTCTGGGTGAGGTCAGACCCTTTGTTTGCTTCTCAGAATTGCTCGTTTTCCAGGAGACCACAAAGTGCTTTGTGGTCTGGGGAATCTGAGCTGGGCTCTGACTGTGTGTCAGGGTAAGGAGGAGGAGGCTGTGGTTTCCATGTCTCGGTGAGATCATGTCACCATGAGCAGGGTGAGCGTGTGCGAGCAGGCAGATAAGAATTAATCTGAAAAGAATCTGTTTCCAGACTTCCCTGAAGTGCAGTGCTGCAGAGGAATCCAGAAAGCTTCAGAAGAGGTCAATAAAAGCTTTCCAGTTCCAAGGAGAGCTGAGGGGAGCAGTGACCATAACGGTGCCTCACACCAAGGGGCTTTGTTTGCTGACGAGGAACAGACACACAAATAGACATAAGGGTGTAGTTGCTGGAGTAGGAAAAGCTGTTTCTACCATACACCATAAGCCAGTGCTCCTTATGGATTCTTTGCAGGCAGTGTCTAATCAGACAAACTCAGTGAAGCTAGAAAGCATTGGCTTGTAAAAATAAACCAAGTGAGCCCTGATTTAGCCTGGTTCCAAGCAAATGGGAATCTCTCTCTCTCGCAGCTGCTTTGCCTGAAATGTTAACTCTGAAAACTTGTTATATCACAGAGCCCTGCATCATTCACTATTCCTCAGGATGTGTATCTGGGTTTGAAGAGATACCCTTTTTTTCAATGCCAAAGTACATTTGGCAGTTGGAAATACCCCATAATTCTGCAACCATGCTCTGTAATTGTCTGAGTTGTTTTGTGAGTTGACCTCTCTCGATGAAATGAGTGGTTCTGGGAGCACCAGAACTGGCAAAACCTGCTTTCTTGCAGATTCTTGTCTCATGGTTGGTTGTAAACTTGCAATGAATTATTTTCCAGATACTGAGACATTTGTGTTGCCTCTTTCTCCCTCTTGGGATTTCTCTGAGGTCAAATAATATGTAAGACATGCTGCAGGGTGTGCCTTTCCTTCCCTCAGGACCCTCAGAGGCTTGTTCTGTCCATCCTGATGGTTCCTTACGTTCACAAAATTTGCAGAAATCTAATCTATTATCTACAGTTCTGTGTGGTCAAAGCCTGTCAGCCAGTTCAGTCAGGAGTTGTTGGATGGGATGAGACAGATAAGAAAGAAAAGGAACTTAGATTAAGAAACAAGGCTGAAGCAGTAGCCTGCCCTGCCTCTGAGTGAGCACCTGGGTGAGAGATCTGAATCTGGAAGGTATTATGCACATTGACAAATTTCTGCTGTCGCTGATGCTACTTAAAATCTGGATTAAGTTGTCAAACTTCACTGTGCTGCTAATATTGTAGGAATATCTGCTACACTGGGCTGTGACTGCTGTAATGTTTGTAGTGGCAGCAAAAGGAGAAAGTGATTAGCCACCTAAAAAATTTAAAAATTGGGGGGGGGAAATACTTTTTACGTGACTCAGCACTTGGGAAAATAGAGTATTTTTCTCTCAAGTGTTCCTTTGGGGATCTTTTTAGTTATTTCTGGATTTTTTAAATAATATATCAGGAGCATCAGTGAAGGATTAAGTGGGAATTGCAGCCAAAGCAGAGGAAATAAGGATAATGCTTTTTATCTCTATGGAGGGCTTTTTGAAAATGCACACAGGAATAGCTTTTTGAGTCGAGGGAAGCTGTGTAGCTTTACTGTCTTCAGTGTGTGTTGTGCTCTTTCCAAGGTACAGAAAGTTTGCATAATCTTCTTGGCTTCAGTTGCAAACCCATCTAGTTTCCTGCAGGCCAGAGCCTTGCCAGTTCCTAAGCTGCTGCTGAGAATTGCATAAATGCAGGATACCCCTCACAATGCCAGCAGCTTAGTGAGCAATCTAGATAGTCCACATGGAAACAATGGGGAACAGGAGCACACAGAGGTCTTACAGACACATAAAACCCCCCTTACTCCTTTCCACTTGTTCTTTCCTGACTCAGAATGCAGCAAAATGAAAGGACATGATGTAGTATTTTGGGTTTGAGTGTTGTGGCCTTTAAGGACAACTCAGCACTGGCTTCTTCCTGTCTCTTTGCTAGTGGGAGGAATGGCTGGATAAAGATTAAGCAGCATCTTTTTCATTAAAAAAAACCAGAGCAAACACACACAAAAACCCAAGTCCTGCAGATTCAGCTGCACCTGCCAGTACCACATGTCATAAGACACGGACAGGAAGGGTTGTGGGAACGTTCCTGTCATTTCTGTACAGCAGGAATATATGGATCATGGGTAGAAAGGGTTGAAATATGCTTGGGGCCATGATCCTGCAAAGGATTTTGAGTGTCTTCCATTCCAGGGCCTGACCGTGCTCTGCTCCTTGGGATTGTTCCTTTTATGGGTGTCGTTTTCATTTCTGCCCCGAGATTCAAACAGAAATGTCAGGGCAGAATCCATGGGATCTGTCTCAGCCAAAGCTCGTGGCAAACAGTGTTTCTTTGGATAAAACCAGCAAAGTCCTCCACCTACTGATGGCTGACTGTGCCACTGGGGAAAGTCATGCAGGTCTGGTGTCCCTGCAGTAGAATTTGTGATAGAACATTCAGGATGGTGCAGCTGCAAAGCTGTGGTAAGTTGTTTTAATTTGGAACACATTGGTATTGATAGGAACACGGAGATCTGTGGGAGTTTCCAGTTTAAAAATAGAGCATTTCTTTGCAGGTCCACCAATAGCTGTCATGTTTTTCTTGACAAGACTATTAGTTGGAGGAATAGCCTGGGAAAATGCTTCAGAATCTTTCCTGGATTATGGTTTTTTTGCAGCCAGCAAGGATGAGCCTGCCAGACTTCTTTCCACTTCGTCTGGATTGCTGTGCTACTTCCTTGGTTTTTATTGCACACATGGAGACTATGAAATAGGATAAAAGGATGATGTAATTTGTGTAGGCTGTCCAGAAAAAAAAAAAAAGTATCTGGAAGATTTACTAGGTGAGAAAGCAGCCAAATAAAGGAAACAATAAGATAGAATTGCACATGGGGGCTAAAGGCCAGTGGGGAGGGTAAAGACAACATGAAGGTGATGTACAGATGAATGAATCCTCTCCCTCTAAATCCTGCCCTGTAGTTATGCCTTGTCCTGCTCCTGGAGCCTCCTCTTGTGTTTGCAACCACCTCATTCCTTTGCCACGAGGAAAATGTTTGGCAAAGCCCAGGTAGCAGGAAATTCTTTGTCACCCCTCACCTGAGTTTAAAGTATGCAGGAAATTTTTCCATTAAAATCCTTTCTATCAGTGGTTCTTGCCACACTGGCAGAATCTGGGTTAAATTTCTCTGTGCTGGGACTTCATTATGAATTAGCTTACCCAGGAAATCACAACACTTTAAAAAAATACAAATGCAAACCCACCATTTTTTGCTGCTTTTCTGCAGTTGGCAAACACGTAGCAAACATGGGTGTTCTTTTATTTCCTTCATACACGCTGCCATGTCTGAGGGCAAGGCATTCCCAGGGGATTAACAACTGGTGGGAACGACTATGGATGCAAGAGGCAGCCCAGCCAACAACCCAAACTGGTTGTTAGACCATGGGAGGTGCTCTGTGCTGAGAGTTACTGTCACAGACTGAGATGGAAAGTCTGTGTGTGGAGGAGAGGGAGATTATTGCCTTTCTGAGCAGTTAATTGTTGACTCCTCCCTCTGCTCCCCCATCAGTGTAGGTGCTGCTGCATTGGGAACACTGCAGCGAGCAAAAGGGCTGACAGGAAGGGTTTACTCTGGATCCACTATATTTGTAAATCACATGCTATTAACAGTTGGGATTTAATTAAATGGAATCAATAAAATCCAAGTTTAAATGGAGTGCAGATTGTGTAGGGATTTGTG